GGGGCAAGTGAGATATTTGCTCACTTGAGCACGAATTGACGGATTGTCACAACATCCCTTGAGCTGGGACCCACATCTGGTCGTCACATCAGCCCTAGGAGGTTGAGGCGTACATCCCATCTTGCCAATGAGGAAACAGCCCCCAGGGGGCAAGTGATTTGTGCAAATCCCATAGCGGGTGGAGGCAGAGCTAGGACCAGAGTCCAGATCTCCTGGACCCACCCAGCCCTTTGACTGACTCTGGACAAAAGAATTGTGCGGCGCGATCTCTGAGCTGGGGTGGGGTAGTTCTGGTGGGCTTCTGAGAGGAGGTGAGCAAGACCCAAGTGTCAGGAGAACAGGCAGCATTTCTTAATTCGACAGGAGTGTGCTGAACATCTACTCTGTGCCCAGCACTGTGCTAGGCAGCTGCACATAAGATGGCCACACTTAGTTTACGTTCTAGTGGGGGAGACAAGCAATATTCAAGCAAAATAAAAACTGGCAAGATAATTTCAGAGGGCAGAAAGTCCTGTGGGGAAAAAAAGAACTGGAAAATGTGACAGGGCAGGGAAGTACTCTAGCTGAGGAGGTGTAGCGAGGCTTGAGTGATGAGGAGCCAGCCATAGGAACAGTATCCCCACAGAAGAAAGAGCCAATTCAAAGGTCCTGAGGTTGAATCAAGCTTGGTGGGTTTGCCACAGGTGATATAGACACCTTACTGCCCCCTTCCTTCCTCTACAGCCAAACGCCCAGCACCAGCCCGGCCTACCATGCCACCCCCGCAGGTCTCCAGCACCCGCTCCTCCCCTCCAGCCCCACCTCTGCCCCCTGGCTCTGGCAGTCCTGTGACCCCTCGGGCTCTGCCCCGCCGTCTGGTTGGCAGCAGCCTCCGGGCTCCCACAGTGCCACCCCCATTGCCCCCCATTCCTCCCCAGCCTGCTCGGCGCCAGAGCCGGCGTTCACCAGCCTCCCCCAGCCAGACCTCCCCGGGTCCTGCCTCCTCCAGCCCAGTCTCTCTAAGCATGGCTGCACAGGTAGACCTGGGGGCGGCCACAGAGGATGGGGGCACCCCTGAGGCTGTAGGCAGCACCCCCACTCCTGCAGCTATGCCCCCTCAGCCTCGGCCCAGGAGCCTTGCCTCAGAGAACGATTGAACTAGTGGCTCCTCCCCAACAGCCCTAGTGTCCCCTCCCTCCCACCTTGTCCTCCCAGGACACAGCCCTCACCCCTCCTAAGGGATGGGGGCCTACCGCCTTTGCCTACAAGTGCCTTGGTGCCTGCTGGGTCAGCCCCCACGGCAAAGAGGACTCAGGACAGTCCTCTACTTCCAGTCCTGTTCTTCTTGGATCCTCCCTGGGCTTGGGGGCTGAGCCCACTCCCCACTCTCCAGCAAGGTCCCACGGGAGCCACCAGAAGGAAGGAGAGCTTGCCTGCTCCTACAGGACTTTGATTTTTCTCTTGACAACATGTTTTTTGTAAGGCAGGTAAATAAATTATTTTGGACAAAACTGGAGCAGCTGCCCAAAAGATAGCTTTATTTTCTGTACTCAAAATAAAGAAGCCACTTTCATAAAGGGGGAAAAATGACCTATTCTTTGCCTCCTGTCCTTCCTGTCTGAAATGATAACAGCTGAAGTTTTTAAGCACTTCCTCTAGGCTACACACTGCTTTTCTGTGCATGATTTCCATTTAATCCTCTCCCTGGAGAGTAAACCCCCTGACCTCTTACAGGTGAGGAGACAGGCCGAGAACATGACCTTCCAAGGTCACACGGTGAGTGAGGCATGGACCTGGGATTGGGACCCAGGTCTGACTGACTCCAGAGCCTGGGCCTGTCCCTCACATCCTGGGCAATTTACTTAATTCCTCCATGTTCTGGTTTCCTTATCTGGGAAACCAGGTTACAACTTCCACCACAGAAGTGTTCTGGTGATTAAATGAGACACTCCTGTAGAGACCTAAGCACCACCCTTGCACACAAAAGTACCCTATGAGTGATGGTTGCTCTTGATGCCGGGTCCCCCATCTGCAGTGTTCCTAGAGAAGGCAGGGAAGGCAGGAGCAGGGATGGATCTGTCTGTAAACCTTCCCTGAGGCTGCTCTACCAGACCCTAGGCTAGGTCCCTGACACAGCTGTAGATGCTCCTGGGGACAGGCAGAACTGATCATTACAATCAAGTATCATGACAACTGGGAGCCCATATTGTAGTGGGTCCGTATGGTGGAGGTCAAGGAAAGCTTCCTAAAGGAGGTGATATGCAAGGGGAGTCTTTGAAGAGCTGGCCAAGTAAAAAAGTCAGGGAAGAAGGAAGAACATTACAAGCCATGGAGACCACCTAGGCACCTGTGACAAAGGCCACGGCATTGGGGAACAAAGTATCTGCACTTAAAGGCTGGGTTACCAGATGTGGCTTTGCCCAGATCTCTGGAGCTCCTGTTGCTTCTGGCGGTCAAATAGGTCTTCAGAGCCTTCTCAGACATCCCTCCCCAAGGGGGGCCTTGGCATCCTGCTCACCCCATCACTGCCCCAGGCAACTGGCCACTGCTGCCGACCCCATCACTGCCCTGGGCAACTGGCCACTGCTGCTCACCCCATCACTGCCCCAGGCAACTGGCCACTGCTGCTCACCCCATCACTGCCCTGGGCAACTGGCCACTGCTGCTCACCCCATCACTGCCCCAGGCAACTGGCCACTGCTGCTCTAGCTCTTTCTCTCCCTGGGGTGGTTGGTGACAGGCTGCCTCTGGCCCAGAGCCTCTCCACTCTGGCCTCACAGTAGAATCCTTGGTAATTCAAAACAAAGAAACCAAAAACGCCAGGCTACACCAAAAACAATTAAAGCAGACTTTCTGGGGTCCTACCATGCATGGGTATTTTTAAAAAGAATTTGTCAAGTCATCAGACTTTACACTTAAGATCTACACATCTTACTGTATGTAAATTATATCTAAAAATAAGTGCTCCAGGGGACTGCAGCACAGCCAGCCTAGAGAAGCACTGGTGTAGCCAAGGGCCCCGGCGCTCAAGCAGACACCATGCGCCTCTGTCCCCATCATCCCCACATGCTTCTCGCAACTTCGCTCAGACCTGGAGCATCCACAGTTCAGAGGGCAAGGAGATAATGACCCAAAGACATCTCCTTTAGCATCTGCTTTCCTCTTAGTAACCAGCTCTCCTAAGCTTCTGATTGGCTGGGGGCATAGCGCTATTCGCGCCACATTTTCTACTTGTAACTCGTTATTGGCCAAGAAGAGCGTCAGTCTCCCAGGCTCCCACCCATGTGAGAGGCTAATCGGGGTTAAAACTCAGCGGCGACTGGCCCAGCAGAGCCGGGAGGCAGGGCGAATGACCAAGCGAGGTCCTCATTGGTGCTCTCCCCTCGGCGCCGACAGCGATTCCGCCCTTCTCTCCAAGCTCCGCTTACTCGCAGCCTTGCTCCTTTCCGAGACTTTCGCCCCCATTGGCCGCGAGCCAGACTGTAACCCCGCCCCCTGGCCCTCCCGGCGCTCCGATTGGCTGGTGCGAGGCAGCGGGATGCGGGCGAGCGCACCGTGCCCGCGGAAAGAAAGCGGCGCGGCGCGGGCGTGCGGGCAG